CCCCCCCAATCCCGCCCGCACACCCGCATGTCGCGCTCGTATGACACGGCATCAAAGGTCGATTATTCAGGACAATCAGGACATGGACGTGGCGCTTGTCAAGTACAGGGTCTCGGCGGTGCAGGTATGTACTACAGTCATAGGATGAACAACAAAAGGGACAAAGACGACGAACCATTTTTTCGTGCCGTCGCCCGCTTCAGACACTAGGGAATCATGGAAAGACAATTCACGGCTCAACCACCCCAATAGATGTGCCGGGGAAAGAAATTGCTGACTTTGTAGCTTTTTCGAAAGCGACTGAAAGGGGGGCACACGTTTGGCCTGCAAGGGTGGGCGGAAGACACGAGACAGGTATATTTTGACCGAGGTGTGCCCCCCCGAGCTGAAAGAAAGCAAAATACTGAGTTGTGTACTCTTCTACGTCGAGATACCGATAGGCTGGACAACTTGCGTGCTGTGTATTGGTCGTCGGTGTTGTTGACAGCCCTTCACAATGAATTTGTTCACGTTCGACCGCGCGCCGTGAGCGCCCTTGTGGGTTTCACAACGAGAACTTCATTCGTGGCTTTTGGAGGCAACGGGGATGTCTCCGGTTGTCGTTTCCTTTGCTGGTAATGGCAACCGTAGCACTTGATGAGATAACAGTAGGGTTGTTTCTCTGCCGCGCTCTACCTGCCTGGTTGGCGTGCTGCTGGTGCTGTCGCTGGACCTTCGGCAACGTGTTGCCAAGAGCCTCAAGGAAACAACACACGTGAAACGGCTCTCCTGTCCCATAGGCTGCAAGACACGTACCGCACAAGTCTTTCGGCGCCCAGAAGCTTACAGCGTTATNCCCCCCCCCCCCCCCCCCCGAGTTCCTTCCAACTGTAACATCGCCTTTGGTTGTGCAATCCACGTAACCCGTCCCCTCGCCGGCGCTCTATGTACGATTTGACTTCTGCTTGCTCGTGTCCAGACCCCCAATTCGGCGCAGCTGTGGAACAATATCGGCATGTGCTTCCTCGGAAAGGTATCGTTGAAGCAATCACTCAATATATCCACCCATCCACAAGTTCAACAGTTTTCCCTGGACCGTCATTACGAACAATGTTCTGTATACGCAGCTGCGGGGGGGGTCAACCGAACGTTCAAGTGCCAATCAAGCGTAGAGTAGGGAGAATGGGACTTGTGTGTTGTATCGTCCGGAGACTATGGCAAGAAAGGCAACTCGAGCGCGTTCATACCTTCAGACGCCGATAGGACGGGCTGTAACTAAGTGGAGCCAACTCCAATCTTTTTATTCTACTTGAGATTGTTAAGGGGGGTCCCGAACGAGCTTCTGAAGCTTGGTTTCTCGCGCGACCAAGGAGACGCCCCATCATCGTCCAACCCGCCCACGAACGGCAAGTAGGCATGAATCTATCTACTACCTGCACGAGGGTGAGGCTTGTGCTTCTAGCAGGAGTTGCTTCGCCCGTATTGCACCTCGTCCGCGCTCTTCCAACTTCCATGTCCCACATGCACCTATTGTATGTAGTTTCTAGTGTCTCCCGCGCGTCTTGTTCCCTCCGAGCTTAACCTGACCATGCTCACCTGGAGGAAATAAACTCAACCAATGGTGCTAAAGCGTTCCAAAAGGGTTTCTATGTTTCACCCTTTGTGTGTGGGTAGAAGGTCAACACTTTCCAAGAGCCTCGCTGGATTGTGACTATTTTCTAGACCTGTCTCTCCGCCAGGTAGCGCACGATTTCCATGCGCTTATTTGATGGTTATCTATCAACTCCCCGCCCTCGCCAGCATAGTAGGTGAGTGGAGTCTTCCTTCCTACTCGTAATCCAACGCCCGCACGCATGCGCACGCCCGCGTTGACCACAACAAGTGTAAGTATATCGCGGCGGTAGCATGTCTAAGGCGCGCTCTGTACCTGGACCCGTTCGAGTGGATCGTGGCCTACAACCTGGGGTTGGTGCACCTCAGCACTTCGCAGTACGCCTCTGCCTTTCACCACTTGAGGTCTGTCAATAATTCCATCGTTTCTTGTCGCCCCGTCGCGGAAAAATGTCAAACGTTCTTCTTGCCTTCCTTCCCTAGCAACGAAAGTTGTCGTGATTGTTCTCAGGTCATTACACAAGGTGCATTGGTATGCATTTAGCCGTTTGTTCAAGGTACGACCATCGCGCGCTATTACATGAATCGTTTTTGTGCCGTCATTGGACCCCTTCCATTGCATAGGTTTCCACCTGTCTGGCTATCAGTGTCGTTCTCTGCCTCCTTCGCTCAGCCTGTGTCTCTGTCTCTGTCTCTGTCTCTGTCTCTGTCTCTGTCTCTGTCTCTGTCTCTGTCTCTGTCTCTGTCTCTGTCTCTGTCTGTCTGTCTGTCGCTCTCTCTCTCTGTCTCTCTCTCTCTCTCTCTCTCTCTCTCTCTCTCATCTTCTCTCTGATGACGGACATAAAGTGCGGCCATCAACCTCAAGCCCGACTTCGCGGCGTCCTACATGTACTTGGCGATCACTCTGGCTAGATTGGAGGACTTCGACAACGCCTGCAGTGCCTATGACAAGGTTAAACACGACCAAGAACTGCAGACCTTCCATAGGATAAAATAGCACAACCTGAACATCTTACCCTTGTTGTACAGTGCAGTGGTACAGAAGGCACCAGTTTTCATCTTGACTCTCACCTGCAGTATGACAACAACAAGAACAACAACACCTCTAGGACGGTTACAACGTGAACCATTTTGACCTGAACGTTCCCATTCCGCAATTGAGGCCACGAGCTCACGGCTACGCACTTTGTGCCACCTCTTTAAGTCTGAGTGCTTTTCTTAGTACTCATACATGCCACTAGAACAGGACGTGGGGGCTTTACGCTAAGGTCCACGAGGCTTTACTATATCAATTCCACCTATGTAATTCGGGTCCACGGCCGGTTACAAGAATTCAGAAAGGACATAGCTGTAACAATGCGACCGAGAGTTGCCGCTTAGAATTTAGACAAGCACGCTACACCGGTTTTGTGTCATTTCTTCCAGGCTTTGGAGCTAGATGACGGCGGTGGCGACTACCTGACCCATCTCAATTACGCGGTGACCCTGCTCAACAACGACGAGCAGGAGAGAGCCGCTGAACACTATGCCAGCTTTAAGAAAATATTTGAGGTGGGTCTGTATGCTGGGAAAATTCATACGCGAGTTTGCGCTATTTGGTGATGACGAACGGGAGTTGAGTATTGAAATTATGCTCGCTGCCAATGTCGTTTCCGCGTTGTCCTCGAGTGCCCTGTCTGGCCTGTACCTAAGCACCTCTTGACCACCGATACAACTGGTCTTCAGGATAGAGAAATGAAAATGTCTAGGGTCACATCGCGGGACGGGTTGTGGGAATGGGGTTCCTTTCCTCATGGTCCTTCAGCCAACGGCTGCCAATTAGGCAGCAAGTCAAAGGTAGGTAGAGCTCTTCCGGTTGAAGTTTTTTTCGGGGTATGTAATCATCATTGCGGATGTGCTCAAAATGGAACACGGCTTGTATTGGCATCAGCTAGAAAATAAAAATTGCGCCCGTCTCCGTCGCGACTGTTTCGGTTTCGGTTTCACCGAAATAACCAAAGGGCGACATGACAGGATTCAATCGGGTAACCGGATGACCGATATATTCCAAATTCGGCTTAATTTTTGCGTAAAGCCGGATTCAGCTTAACCGGAGACCCGTTTTTCTGTTTTCGGTCTGACCGGAGAGCTTGTTTCGATCAACTGGTTAAATCTGTTTCGTTTTTTTCATGATTTATCAGATTCAGTATAGCCTAACTGGGTTACCGTTTTAACCGGATCAACCTTTTTTGCTACCGCTTTAAAGCTTGCGTAAATGGTTGGCCGGACTCGGTTTAGCAGGATAATGTACCCGTTAGTATATGATACTGGTTATCCAGAGGTAAAGGAGAATTATTCACGGGTTTGACAACCTCCCATTCAGGTTGAAAAGGCGGGAAGTAATATCGGCAAGATAGATGGGTAAGGGAAACATGTCTATTTTGAGCCACCTTTGGCAATGTAGGAGGGAACGATTGACCCCCTGTTTCGGTCCTGTGGGAACAATGCTCCGTCATCTCGAGGACCCGTGGTGAATGGTCGAACCGCTAGAGAATGCAAAACAGAAGGGCACGCCCCCCCCACCCCGTTCATCCACAGCGATCACCCCCACTCACCCGATTGGTTCGCATTTTGCCCCTCTGTTCGCGTTCGTGTTGAACGACGCATAATTCGCACAGTGACCAACGATCTAATACCCAGCAATACCCACCGATGGATCGACCAGTCACTCATTTTGATGGATTGACCTACTGTACCAACGAATGCTTCTTGCAGGCTCTCGATCCCGATACGGAGAGGGACCAGGAGGTGGTAGCAAGCAGTCAAGCGCTGGAAAATTCCCTTGGAGCGTCCTCGTGACAAACAGCAGTGACGTGGTTGGTCATGAGCGTGTGGTTGTTTTGTGTGGTGGTGCTGTTGGCATTGTCACATTCTGGGTTACGCTAGAATAATCGCAACGTAGGTTACGACATAATTATGGTTCTTGTGGTGATGATGTTCCTGTACTTGCCGGATGTTGGTCATGTTTGAGGCGTTACCGCCGTTGGTTGCTGTTGCAGACTTTGTCGTTGGCCTCCATTTCTTGAAGTCGTCACCGTTGTGGTAACAGCATTTGAAGCGTCGTTGCGGTCATTGTTGCATTGGTTGTTTTCGGTGGTGTTGGTGTGGCGTGGCGGCGTTGTCGGTTCATGTTTGGTGCGGTGTGATTGTTGTTGCAGAGTTGTTGGTGGCGACACAGTTGACACTAATGTTAGCGTTGGTACAAGAGGGACTACAGTACGATGTCGCACGTGTTGCTGGCTGACCGAGTAGTCTAGTGGGTAAGCCTGTCTAACCAAGGATGCATGCACGGCTTCGAATCACAGCTGGTCACTTCAAAAGCACCATTAGTTCGTTATCCGGCAGCGCCTGGCGAAGGGCCCGTCCCCGGAGATCCCTACTCCTAAATCCCAGTGCCCAGCCGGGTGGCTACCAGCCGAGAGAATATATTTTCGCTGACTGAGTAGCCTAATAGGTAAGCCTTTCTCACGTGCTGTTGATTGCTGACGACAAACGTCGTAGCTCGCACCACCCTTTCGAAGATGCATTCAACGTACAGAGTAGCACGGAAAAAGTTTCAAGCACACACGGAACCCTTAAAAAACGCGTTCATGTCCATTCGCGCCAGAAAAACCCTTCCCGCCGCGCCCGGCTTCTTCAATTTCGGTGCCCAATCGCACTCGCGGACAGACCGTCTAGACGTACAATAAGGATAACAAGTAATACCATGGACTCTTCACGAACACACATACCAACACGCGGTAGCCCTCCTTCGACCCATGAGGGTAAGCGCTGACTACACAGGTGGACGCTACCTCCCCCTTACACAGGGTTGATCCACCACCGGTACCTTGGACAGACCTTGCACGCACCCTGGCCAAGGTGAAAATGCCCCCAAGGTCATCACAAGGGTGCCCATATCCAAGGTCTACGATGTCTGGACTATAGAAGGACCTTGCGCAAGGTAAATAAGGCCCCAAGGTAATGCAAGGTCAAACGTTGGGCAAGGCCCGGCGGAAGTGGAACCTTGCACGCACCCTGGGCAAGGTTAAAAAGCCACAAGGTCACCACACAGGCGAACCATGTCTATGGTCTACGATTTTTCGATCCTTCGAAGGACCTTGCCCAAGGTAAGAGCACCACCAAGGCGAGCCATGCCCAAGTCCTACGAGTTCTTGACCTTGAAAGGACCTCGGACAACGTGGAAAAAGCACCAAGATCACGAAAGGTCGAACGGTTTCAAAGGTCGACGACTTCTGGACCATAGAAGGACCTTTGCGCAAGGTGGACAACGCCCCAGGGTCACACAGGGTCACACAGGGTCGAAGCTTGTGTAAGATCCAGCGGAACTGTAACCTTTCACGGCAAGGTAAAATGGTCTCAAGGTCCACTAACATTCCAATCATGTCCAAGGTCTGCGATTTCTGGACCTTGGAAGGACCTTGTGCAAGGTAAATAAGGCCCCAAGGTCATGCAAGGTCAAACAGTGGGCAAGGTCCAGCGGAATCATAACCTTGCACGCACCCTGGGCAAGTCAAAATGGCCCCAACGTCACCTCAAAGGCGAACTTGTCCAAGGTCTGCGATTTCTGGACCGTACGAGGACGTTCGTTGCCCAGGGTGACAAAATGCCGAGCGGCCACCTCGACCCATTTATTTTGCTGTGCCTCGCAAGGCGCGTAAGTGATATCCAGCACTTTCCACGACGTAATACATCAGTAGTTCCTGGGATACCAAAACCCGTCACAAAGGACTGTGTGTCAAGAACAGTGCGAGTATCTTGTAATTCCACGAAACACAGGCCGCTGTCCACCAGCACGGAGAGCGAGGCTCCCGCCAGTTCTACAGCATACATACTGATAGGCAACTAATCGCTGCTCGGAGCAAACAAGAGGTCGCAGCAGATCGAGCGCTGGCGACGTCTCCCCGCTGGGCGAGCTCTCTCCCAGAAAGAGTGCCGACGACGGACGCACCGGAGGTGCAACGATCCGGGTTGACCCGCTCCCTCCCCAAACCAGATGATTTGCGATCCAGCTCCAGTCGCCCAACTTGTCCTGCCACTAGCCTCTCCCCGCGAGCCTTCGTGGATAGCCGCCGCCAACCTATCGCCGTTGCTGAAGGTGAATGTGCCGCTTCTCCTTCCAGGTGCCCCGGGGGGACGGCGTCGGGGATGGAGCGCCAGCACTCGCTCCTAGCAGGGGGGGGGGGGG